ATATCTGATGCTATTGCCATTGGAGTAGCATGTCATATACCAGCAGTTGATCTTCCTGAAGTATTAAAATGCTACCATGAACTGGGAGCTCTTCTTTACTATCCTCAAATAGAAGGTCTGAGGAATAAAGTCATTCTAAATCCAAAATGGTTTGTCGATACCATTGGGAAGGTGTCCATGTTCCCACTAGAAAGAGGATGGAGCAAAGAAGATAGATGGTCGTAGCTGCAAAATAAAGGCATTCTTATTCAACCACTCTATCAAGAAGTATGGCAGTCAAGTGGTATTGATCCAGAAGAAATAATTGAACTTTTAGTTCATTTTCGTCTTGCAGCTCCAGTTCAAACCGAGCTTAGCAGATTCAAGCCGCAATATTTTCTTCCAGCAGTGCTACCAGGATACACAGGTGACCCTAATGAAGTACATCCTGGTTATGAGCTAAGAGCCTCACCTGTACACATTACATTCTCCACTGGGTATGTACCTCCTGGCTTCTTCACTTGTTTAGCAACTGCTGTAGCTACAAATCCCAATTTTGAGCTCAGTTTTGATGATTATTTTGCAGCCTCTGCCATTCATTCAAAAAGTATCTATCGTAATCGTGTCTACTTCTCTTATGGTTGTCCTTCTGATAACTTTGTTCTCACTGATATTAATGAAGCTATTCAAGTTGATGTAATGAGATATGTCCCTGAAAATAGTCATCCTGTTCCTTTCAAAACTGTTTGTCAGAACATCATGAAATTGCTTGAGGAATGTTGCCAGAAAGTAGAAGACACTCTCACTCTTTACCATAATGGTAGCAATGCTGATCGATCATCAAGAAGAGTACAATACATGTGTCAATGCAGTCGTTCCAGTGAAGTCCATTACATAAAGAACATTGATGCTGAGAAGCAGATATGCTCTGAGTTTGTTCACTGCAAAATGGAAAGTATTCCTCGCCGCCTAACCATTAATGAGTTAATGTGGTTTAAAAAGGTATTCAATTTATTTTTTACCATTTAACTCCCGGCCCCCACATAGATCAGTGCACGTGAATCCAATGATGATCAACAAGAAGGTATAATTATTCACTGTCACTAGTTTCACATTATTTATTTATAATAGTTATGTTGACTATTGCAAATCTAGTTGATATCATACGTGTGTTAGAAAAAAGTAACTTTCAAAATCAAAAATGGCGTAAACTTGGTCTCTACTTGGGTCTGATCCACCCCGAATTGAAGACTATTGAGGATAATTATCCACGAGATGCTGAGCGATGTCTTGAAGAATGTTTAGCAGAATGGCTTAAAAATGATACTGAAGCAACGTGGGAGAAACTAGCTATTGCTGTTGGTGAAGCGGGAGAGAAATCAGCTGCTACTTATATAAGTGAGATCATGGTTAATTACTAATAATATTATTATTAATAGGATCAGAAAAGACCTTTAACAGATGATACTAGTGTTAACATTCGAATAATTATAATGTTTTGTTGTCCAGTGGTTTTTATTCTTTTTACTGTTAGTTGCATCACATTTTATACCTAAAATTTATTAAGCAAATATATTGTTGACATTTTACTACCCTGCAACTGCTGCCTAAGAATTAGCTATGCTTGCAATGTGTTCTTCGTTTCTTTCAAGTCATTAATGGATGCTATTTAGCACAATGCTGGTGAATAAGGAAGCAGTTCCTGTCACAAGTAGTCAGTGTATATTGATATTTCCTGAATAGAGTCCAAATATACTTCCATAAAAGGAAAGACATCTTGGAAATGTTGACAGAATCTTGTCTACAGTACAAACACTACACTAACTAACCTTTAACAAAGATCATATAATGATTCACTGCAGTAGTGGGTGGAAGTTCCATTTAAAAATATGTACATTACATTTACATGTATGTGTTCACAATATTCATATCTAGAGCTAAGATTAGTTCCACCCAATGGTAGATACTATTATGATATCACAGTCACTATATGATTTTATGATGATGTCATTAATTAGTTATGGTAGCTACAGCATTAAAGTATTCCAATAATAGAATATCAACAGAATGAAGTACATGTACATGTACAGGTAATGGAACTGACTGTACACATAACTGCATGTACATGTATCTATGAAGCTTGTCTCTTCCTATCTATTTCTCAATCTCTCTCTTATAAAAATTACTCTCCAGCTGTAGAATGACCTGATTGTGTATCATTGTCATTTACTACTAGTAATTTCTACTCCTCCATTCCACTGGATATCACTATGAGTGGATCTAACCTCTTGAGAAATGCAACAATAATAATAATAATCATAATAATAATAATAATAATAATGTTATTAAAGCAATAAGACAAGCAAACAACACGAGTAGTTCCAAGAAAGAGAG